CACACACACACACACACACACACACACACACACACACACACACACACACAGAGAGAGAGAGAGAGAGAGAGAGACAAACAAGACACACACATTTTTCTTGCAGTCCTTGTGAGGACTTATTGATTTTCTTTAATTTACTGGTCCTTTCTATAACCTAACCCTAATCCCTTGTGAGGACCATGCATAATATCAAAATATGCTCTTACAAAGATAGACATACAGTAACACACACACACAGGGACAGACGCACACAAGATGCACACATACACACAAATAAACAAATGCACTCTGAAGACTTGTTAATAATGTTTGAATGGAAAGAAACGAAAATGCTCACTTATAAATCTGTACAGATTTACGTTATACTGAAGAAGGGTTCTTTGAAGGAATKCATGTCACCTGCCATCTTTCTTTCCACAGTTTGTGATCATCTCATTGAGAAATGAAAAAGTTTGCTGACAAAGCAACATAATTTAAAAGTTAAATCAAAGTTCTTCCACAATGACTAAGTGTCTGAGTGGTGAATGACTCACAGCTACTACCACAACAAATGTTAGCTCAATATCTGTGAACCTGACTGCATTATAATCTCTTTTGTTTCCCACAATCATTAGGCAGTGGCAACCACCTTGGCTTGGATTGGCTCCAAAAGTGTATCAGTTGTAGAGATAAACCCAATGGTTATTTCCTGAAAGTTTCACTAAAATGTRTCCAGTGGTTCATGGGATATTTTGCTAACAGACAAATAAAGTTGACCCCAGCACAGAGGTCACACAATGAGTATGAGCGTGTTGTTGATGACTCTCAACTACTACCACGGRTTATTGCCTCTGGCGGCCATCTTTCTGCCAAGTTTGATTAAAATTCATCCAGTGGATCAGGAGATATTTTGCTAACAAACATGAATTAACATGATCACCCGCCCTCGTCTTTTGGCCTACTTTTCAGGCAGGTTCACGCGGCCAAAGGTCACCTACCAAACCGGAAATCGGGCTTCACGTGAAGCAGACAGGTGTGTTTAAAGTCTGCCTACAGCCAAACAACTTTAAACAGCGYTTAGCAGAGGCGGTCCGGTTCCGGTCTTACCTGCTGGTGTCGGGACGCTCCCCGGCCGGCAGAGCCGACAGCTGGAGGGAAACCAGGCTGATGCAACATACAAGCACCGGGATCAGGGACCGCATCTCCGGGCAAACTCTCTCTCTCTCTCTCTCTCTCTCTCTCTCTCTCTCTCTCTCT